AATGTAATTGCTTTTATTACTTAATAAAGTTTCTACTTTGGCATAACAAAAAAAAAAAAAAAAAAAAAAAAAAAAAAGATTTTAGAGCAACAGATTCACAATGTTATAATGTTCCGAATGCTTCAGAGATCACAGCTATAATAGTGGGTGACAACTATAGTAAGGCTGGATTATCTAACCAAGATATTATTCTTTATTTACATTTAGAAGGTTTACAATGCATCTCTGAGTTACATAGAGCATATATTCTATTACATTATGTTCTTCTTTTTCCAAGAGGTGAAGATGGATGGCATCTGGAAATTCCAATTCATAATGATGCATCAATATTTTCTTCATATCAGGAGCAACAAGAATTAGATGATGATGATATTAATCAAAAAACCATCACTATGATGCAGTATTATTCTTATCGACTTCAAGTAAGCAGATTTAACGAAGGAATAAATATTCATCTTTTTGGATGTCTTTTTTAACAGTATATAGTGAATGCTTATACAAATGTTGAGCAAAACTGACTTGGCTATTTGTGGCATAATCAAAAAAAGATTCATGCAGAGCTTTATAATGGTTTGCACAATGCTATAGCTGTGCAAGATGAAATATATTAAAATTTATCTATGACAAATATAGGTAAGAGAATTATTCTTCCATCGAGCTTCACAGGAGGACCCCATCAAATACATCAGCTGTATCAAGATGCAATGTGTATTGTACATATAATGGGTAAGCCTGATCTTTTTATTACATTTACGTGTAATCCGACCTGGCCTGAAATTACTGCCGAGCTTCTTTATAACCAAACTGCATCAGATTGATCTGATTTAGTAACCAGAGTTTTTAATATGAAGCTGAAAGCTCTACTTAATGATATTATTAAAAATAGCATTTTTGAGAAAGTTGTGGCACATATTCACGTTATTGAATTTCAAAAATGTGATCTTCCTTATTCCCACATACTAATTATTCTTGCACCAGATGACAAGCCTAAAACAGTTGAGAATTATGATAACATTGTGTCAGCCAAAATTCCTGATAAGAATATTCATACAGCAGCATATGAAACTATTACACGAACTATGATGCATGGTCTATGTGGTCTTTTATTTCTGGATGCTCCATGTATGAAAGATGGAAAATGTTCGAAAAGATATCCTCGAAGCTTCTGTGAATTTACAACCCAAAATGAAGACAGATATTCTGTGTATAGTCACCCTAATGATGGACAAACTGTAGAGATTAGAGGTGTGCAGTTAGATAATCAATAGGTAGTACCTTATAATCTTTATCTTACTACAAAGTACGATGCGCACATCAATGTTGAAGTTTGTTCTTCTATATTAGCAGTTAAGTATCTTTTCAAGTATGTTTACAAAGGTCATGATCGAGTAACATTAGAAATCAGAAGACCAAATGAAGTGGGAATGTCACAAAGACGAAATTCAGAACAAGACAAAATTCACCAATATATAAATACATGTTATGTTTTGGCATCTGAGGCTACTTGGAGGTTATTTCATTATAAACTATATGATGAAAAACCTGATATTATAAGGCTTCAGGTTCATCTTCCAGGACAGCATATGGTAATTTTTCAAGATAATGAAAATTTGGAAGAAGTACTAGAGTGTGGAACTATGACAAAAACAATGTTGACTGTGTAGTTTGAAGCAAATCAAAGATTTCCTGAAGCACATGGATTAACTTATAGCAATTTTCCTACTAGCTAGGTATATGATAAAAGAAAGAGAGAATAGAAACCAAGACAAAGAGAGAATACAATCGGATGCATGTATTTTGTACACCCTAGGGCAGGAGAGCGTTATTACTTACGGATGCTATTAAATACTATGCGTGGAGCAACCTCTTTTGAAAATCTTAGAACTATTAATGGAGTTACATATGCTATATTTAAAAATACCTGTAATACTTTGGGCTTGCTTCAAGATGATTATGATTGGAATCAATGTTTGAAAGAAGCCAAAGAACTACAATCTGGTGCACAACTACGTCAATTATTTGCCATCATTCTTCTTTTTTGCCATCCAACATAACCTGAGTTCCTTTGGGACAAATATATAACAGCCTTTTGTGATGATCTTTTGTTTCAAGCTAATCAAGAATCAGGTAACACTAACGCATTTATGATCAACGATACTAACATACAAAATTGAATATTGCATTATTTAGAATCGATTTTACTTAGACACGGAATGAATCTCAACAATTTTCCAAATATGCCAATTCCCGTACTACTTCCTGAAGAACCAAGTTGACATATAAATTTGGTTTTAGAGGAACTTCAGTATGATGCAGAAATTCTTGACAATAGAGTTAAAGAGGTTTGTTCACATTTAAACAATGAACAAAAAGTTATTTTTAACACTATAATTTCTGCAGTAGAAAATGGGCATAGTGAAGTAATTTTTATAGACAGTCCAGGTGGCACTGAAAAAATGTTTTTATATGATATACTGCTAGATAAAGTTCGATCCTGCAGAAAGATTGCACTTGCAGTAGCCTCTTTCAGTATTGCTTCCCTTCTCTTGAATGGAGGTCATACAGCACATTCTCAATTCAAGATTTCAATTAATTTGAATGAAAATTTTACATGCAATATTGCTCATAGGACAGATTTGGCAATTTTACTACAAAAATCTGCTCTCATTATTTGGGATGAAGCACCCATGATGAAATGACATGCGTTTGAAGCCTTTGATCACATTCTAAGAGATCTAATGAAAGTGATAGATCCTATTTTGAAGCATCAACCTTTTGGGGATAAGATTGTTATATTTGGAGGTGATTTCAGGCAGATTTTACCTGTTGTTCCTAAGGGTGGAAGAGAAGATATCATGGATTCCTGTTTTCTACAATCTCCACTATGGTGGCATGTCAAAGTTATGAAATTGGTCAAGAACATGCATCTATCTTAAACCGATGATTCAGGAACAGTTGCTAACAACAATTTGCAGATTGGCTTTTGCAACTTGGTAAAGGTTATATACTAGGAATTCCAGAAGATAGCAATGTTATTAAACATCCTGATGACATTCTTCTTCCCTCGCATACTATTCAGGATTTAGTTAATTTTGTATATCCCGATTTAACATTATCTTTAAATAATTCACACTATTTAATGAAGTGTGCAATTCTGGCCCCAAAAAATATTGACGTGAATATGGTTAACGATTTTGTTATAAGTTTCTGCCCAGGCAAAGCAACTGAATACTTGAGTGTAGATTCTATTGATAAGACATTTGATGGCTATAATAACAACTTTGAAACCCTTTATCCGATTGAGTTTTTAAACAGTTTGAAGCTAAGTAGTATACCTCCCTACAAATTATCATTAAAAATTGCTTCACTTATAATTCTTCTTCGTAATATTGATTCTACAAATAGTCTATGCAATAGAACGCATTTGATCTGCCAAACTTTTACGCCCAGAGTTATTGATGCTGAAGTGATTACAGGAAAACATGCTGGAGTTCGAGTTTTTCTCCCCTGAATTCTTTTTACATCCAATAATGAATTGCCTTTTGTTTTGCAATGCTTTCAATTTTCTGTGCAGCCCGCTTTTGCAATTACTATTAACAAGGTGCAGGATTAGACTTTAAATACAGTGGGAGTCTATCTACCAACTCCTGTCTTTTCTTATGATCAACTTTATGTTGCTTTCTCAAGAGTGACATCCAAAAATAATTTAAAGGTTTTGCTCACAGGTCACTATACTGAAACTGGGTGTACAAAGAATATTGTATATCTAGAAGTTTTTTATAATTTTTTTCTTTTTTTTAGTGATTTAGAGTAATTAAGAAAACTAAAAATTCCAAACTCTAAGTATTCATTCAAATTTAATTTGCCATTTCAATTACTGCATTACGAATTATACATATTCTACTCACCTACATATATTTGCATTATTATCGTTATAACTACAATTTTCTACTTCATTTTACGGATCAGCTTCCAAAAGTAACAAAATTGCAAAATTTAACGATGCAACAATATTAAACAATAAAAATTCAAGTGCCTAATTATTTATTGAAGTACAATTTTTGGTTTAATAAGTTGTAATTGTTTTTTATATTTCACCATTTTCATATTACGATAAATATACTCTTTTATATCATGTCTGAAAATTCTATTATTTTATTTTGCACAGATTAGTAAATTTATTTTTTTTATTTTATAGGAAGCAATATCTTTTATAGCATTTAATATTCAACCTAATGTTTATAACGTTTACTCAACATTCTAATCTACTTAATTCCTGCTTGCATTAGCTATAATACTATTAGTTTTTATACTATAGACGTTTGTTTCTAGCTATTAACATAAGTCATGCTTTAAGATAATCGATAAATAAAGTTCACTGTATATTACCTAGAAATATTAGACATACTAGCTTAGATAACATGTAACTTCAATAATTGTGATATTAATTACTATGTAGTGACTTTAAGTGCATCCAATAAAAACACTAAAACCTTAATAAAGCAATTAAATACGTGTGAATCTAATCATCAGAAATAAATATTACATGTAACCTGTTGCTTCTTTGACAGTTTTAAATGTCTATCGTGATGAAATTTCTATTACTAACTAAATTAAAATACTTTAGCCTAAAACCATATCTTGGTAAAATATAATTTTTACTAAAATCATCGAATTCATACGCGTGACATCTAGCACTCGGGAAAATTAAAAAAAAAATCATCATATCAAATAGCATAATTCTGAAGCCATTTATGCTGCTATTCACCATTATCATTTGTCATCACGGACATAAAAAACTTCACCAGAATCGTCACAAAAATTACTATCTAATTTTTCCACTCAAGTAAAGAGCGACAAAAATAAACCTATAAAGAATTCCCATTTAATATAATATTACGTGATCAAAAACTTCAAAACAAACCTTCATTTTAACAAGAATTGCCTAAAACTCAAAATCTGCATATTAAATCACCTTCTGCATCCTAAAAAAAAGTTTTTCTTGAACATTTTACTATCATAACCACCTCAATATAAACTCTAACCTAATCCTAAACAAACTTAAAGAATTTTGTCCGCTATCATGTGAGCATAAAGGTCACCAGATGCTAAAGTGTTCAAAATTATGCCTTGCTATGCTGTGCGCATAATTACCCATTTTTTCACTTCGCAAAAAATGTATTTAGGGCACCTAGCTTAAATATGATTAATACATATAATATAATACCTAAAGAGAGAGAGTATTCCGAAAAAGTTTGATGTTAAAAAAGGATGAACTCGAATACAAGCAAGGCCGATACAATTTTTCTGAACAATATCCAAACAATTACGAGAACAGTATATAATAAAGATTGCATAATCTATTTAATAGTTTGCATAAACTTAGTTTTATTTCACATTCATCGCATAATTAACTTAGGGTTGTCAAATTACTGTAATTTTATGTAATTTTGTGAAATTTTGCATAACTTTTAATTTGTAAGAAACATGATTATATGCTCATATGATTGGTTAGATCATATGTACATCGATCTGGTCGGTGAACTTAATGCAGAATCTACTGTGGTTCAATAATGCTAGCTAAGTTTTTCATGCCGGTACTATGAAATCTATGTTACTGTAACTTACATAAAATTACATGTATTGTAAATTTGTAAAATGTAATTTTCAACCCTAAATTGACTTCAATCAAATCGTATAATTTATTTTATCACATCACATAATTTAACACTCTACTAGACACCTACCAACTTACATAACATATACTAATTCGCAGATCACTGAAATGGGATAATTAAAAAATTTACTTTTTCTTATTTTTACATAAGTGTTTTATATAGATATCAAGAACACAATTATGTAGTATGTATTGAATTTAGCAAACCTCAATTCAAGTAATTTTTGTTCCTACCTATTCTAAATATAAATTGTCATTAGGGATTGGAACCATTTAATCATTTAAAAATTGCTCCATAACTCTGGGCAGAATTATGTTGGTCATGAGCCAGAATTATTTTAATGTCGGCCAAATTAAATGGTTAAACGATTAAACGATTAAGTAAAATTTTAGGCAGTTCCAATCCTTAATTGTCATGAATTTATGTTATACTATTGAATTGCAAATTTAATAGTATAAGTAGTATACGTATTATTTCATTTAATATATATAATAATAATAAGCATTTATTTCAAAAATATTAAATTGTAAATACTTAATATTATATGTCATATAAGTTTTGTTAAAAAAATCTAACTTTAGTTTTTTATATAAAATCATATAAACTATTATATTTCTTTGAAAAAAATATAATTTTAAAACCATCAGCGAAGCGATGGGTTACACCTAGTAGTATAGTAAAAATATTAAAAAATTTTTTAATTTCTATAAAAATTTTAATAATTATCTCAAAATTTTTCAAATTACTATCATCAAATTCTTTATTTTGACTTATAATATACATATTAGGGTAATTCTATTTTCACTTAGATTATTTTCACCTATCATGTGACACCAGCTACTGTGATTTGTAAATATCATAAAAAATCATTTTGCATTTTAGTCACGTGACCACTATTTAGGTAACCTATATTACATGATCTATGGTAGTACAATAATTTTATACTGTGGAATATATGATTCATAATATACAACCATCAATTTTTTCTTTTTGCTAAGATAGAAATACTACTTTTCACTTAGGTAGAACCAAAATATAATGATAACAATTAGGTTGTACAGGATCAGATTTTTGTAAGTTCATTCTTATTTGACTATATAGTATCCTGATCGATATACAAAAATCACGAACTATAATCTATATATATGTTGTGCCTCAAACTAATGCCTGCTTCAGATCACAGCTGATGCACCTCAGATGCAGATCTCCAGATGAGGTGCGTAATGTCATCTAAGCCATGTCTGATGAAAAAGTAAATAAATTGAATAAGAACTTTTATTTAGAACTCTTATTCTCAGTTTCTTTACTGTTTTCTTACTGGTAGTATTCTTTACTTAAATCACTTTAACACCTTTCTTAACTTCAATAGTATTCTATATTTTAAATCACTTTGGAATTGTATTGCCTCCAATAGCATTCTTGAATCTCTAATATTTAAACCAAAAGTAGCATTATTTTATATTAAATCTGTCTCTTCAGCAGCTTTATTCTTTTTGAATTTCTTTGTCAGCATATTCTATTTTCAATTAATCCCCTATATAACTAGTTTTTTTTTTGCCTAAATTTTCGCGACATATTCTTTCCAAGTTTTTTCAACATGTTCAATCTTCAATAATTTCTATATATATAATTTTTTTTTGTGCTTATTAACTGATCAATAGATTATGCACCTCACTTAACAATCTACATCTGAGGTGCATTAGTTGTGATCTGAGGCAGGCGTTAGTCTGAGGCACAACATATATGTATATTTTATGATTTTCAATACAAAACTATTGTTATGCTTTAATTAGTATAAAGCTTAAAATATAAGCAGTTTTTTAACTAAATATGAAGCATAACATTTTGTTATATAAGTCAAATGATGCACAAAAACAGCTTGCATTTACTAACTTAAACTCCAAGTTTATTATATATTACTAAACTTGGTAATCTGACTAGTTAATTTAAAGATTATAGTATATGTGAGGTTCTGATGCATAGTATTTCTTAAACTTCAATTCAAATTTAAATATACTATAGGTAAATTTTCTAAAAAATAATTCAATAAATATTCACAAATTTAGTTCTTAAATATTATTAATCATATCTGATATGTTGTTATATATAAAATTATATAAATTGAATTATTTAAGCATATACTGTGTATTTGTAAAAATGAATCTTGAGCGATTGCTTTCTTTAAATAATACTGTTTTGAATGTTGATATTAAAAATAATCATGACACAACCTTTGATTCTTTTAACATTAACAATAATTTTAACAGTAATGACAACAAAGCTCTTGACAGTGATTTTAATGATATTCTTGGTAGAAGTCTTAGTGATATTCTTGACAAAGACTTTAATGACAACTATATATTACATGAAATAACTTCAGTTAGTAATAATTCAGCCACATTAACAGTTGGTCAAACTTTTGCTAAATGGCATGATGTTGAGCAATACGTTAATGCCTATGCAATAAAGCAAGGCTTTGCAACAAGATTAAATTGCACAGAAAAAAATCTAGGCTTTCTTACCAGAGCAAAAATTGTCTGTCATCATGCAGGAACCCCAAGTGACAAAAGCACTAGATTACAAACAACAAGAAGTATTGCAATTGGTTGTCCATGGAAGATAGTAGTTCGCTGAACCAAAGTAAAATATTATGTAAAATTTGTTAATCTTGAACACAATCACCCTATGGACACTGCTGCTGTTGAGTTTGATCCTAGGCATCGTAAGTTAAGCAATAATGAAAATATGTATGTACAAATGCTTTATAATGGAGGTGTGCTAGTTTCAACAATTGTCAATATGTTAATTGAGGAATATAGTAGATATGTTCATAACAAGGATATATATAACACATTGAGTCATCATTCTCGTGATTATGTAAAAGGGTTGTCACAAACTGCAGAACTGTTAAAAGGTTTAAATAACAACAATAACTATATGTTTACTTATTCAGTTAACAATAATAGGCTTCATTGCTTATTTTTTACTACACAATCTGCGGTTGCAAAATTTAAACAGTATTCTGAGGTTTTATTAATGGGTGCTATATACAAAACAAAATGCTTTGGTATGCCACTTTTACTTATTAGTAGTATTGATGCTATGGGTATTACTTTTCTTATTGCAAGTGGACTTCTTACTAATGAAACCATACCAAGCTATTGTTGAATATTTTAGCAATTAAAACAATTAATTGGTGATACAACTTTTTATAGTATTCAAACACTTTTAACTGATAGAAAGCATGCACTAATCTCTGCAGTTCGAACTAAGGCACTACATATTAAACATCAATTATGCATTTGACATGTTGAGCAAAACATTATAAGAAATTTAAATCATAAACTTAAAGAATGATTTATCCTATTTATTAAAGATTTTAAGGTGGTAATGTTTGAGTTTATTAAAAATCGATTTAAAGTTTTATAGAATTATTTGTTAGCAGAATATCCAGAAGCTAACAGCTATATGACAGATTAGTGGAAGCCTCTTGCTCAAATGTGAGCATGTTGTTATACCAACAAGAATATCAATTATGGAATACGAACAACACAATGATCAGAAGCTAGCAATGCATATCTAAAGCACTTATTAGGTCATACAGTACCTTTATCTGAATTAATAAATGCATTAGAGAAATTATCTTGTTACCAGTTACAATGTTCTCAATATCAATAGTATCGCTTATATGGAACTATTTGTCAAAAATGTTCAGAATTGCTAAAAGATATTTCAATAATTGTATCTGACTTTGTGTACTTCTTGATATTAAAGCAATATAATAAGGCTATGTCTTATAATGTTGAAAGACAAGATGTTAATTTATTTCATGTCTATCATAATGAAGACTGAAAATATAATATATATCAGACTGATACTAGATATATTTGTTACTGTGATTATAGCATACAATTTTCTTTACTATGTCATCATGTTCTTTCTGTTCATATTGTTAATAAAAAGGTTATAAGTATTGGTTATATTGGTGCTTATTGGGTTATCTCACTAGCTAAACTCGATACTGATATGTCTCAATCTGAAGAAAATAACTTCACTGAATTTACAACCAGTTTCTTCTTTACCGATTTCAGCAATAAGCACTCAAATAATTTTTTAACTACTATTAATTATAGTACCTATAACATGTCTGTTAAACAAACACTTACTAGAAGTATTGCAGAATTGCTTAAGGACATTAAGGCAATTGCTGATAGAATAGGTCACATAAAAATCAATAATATGTTGGCATCTTTTGTGAAACAGTTAAATACCAAATATCTTTTATTACAAGAAGACATAAAAGATCTTGTTCTTGTGAAAACAAAGGGAAGACCAAATAGCACTAAACGTAAAAAAACAGGTGCTGAGCATGCTACTAAAAAAATATATATGTGTAATATTTGTAATAGCATAGGACATAATTCTAGAAGTTGTCCATGCAAGTAACTAGTTTTTTTAAATCTTATACTCATATATATTGTTTAAGTTTTTTAATACTTGTTTAGCAAATAATTAAGTTTTTTTCTTTTTTTTTGTATAAGCAAAAATCTCAAATTAATCTAAGGCAATATTTTTGCATTATTGAATATTCCAATTAAGATTAGCATTAGAATTAGACCTTAGTTTATAGCAAATAAAATTTTATAAATTGAATAGTAAATTTGCAAATAACTTTATAAACAAAACCTTAAAATAAAACTGTTTTTTTTTTAAACAAAAACTCTCAAAATTTTAGTGTACCTAAAATCAGAATATGTATATAAAAATAGTTTCATATATATATATATATATATATATATATGTATATTAAATTAACCAGAAACACAAACCAGATACAAATCAATAAGTTAATTACTAGTATTATGTATAGATTACTTGCTGAAAAAACCTATTTATATATAAAACTAGTTTTTTTAGTTGAAACTATTAAATTCTATTTGAACTAATGACAATTTTAATATGTGCATATGTATAGTGTCAGAAATTTAACAATCCTTTATATATATAGAATTATGCACCAAAATTATGTATATACATATATATGTATATATTTAATAACAACTATTTTATGCATACTGTTAAATTTAAAATAAACCGCTACTGAATCTTCAATATGCTGTCTATATAAAGTGATTGTGGTCTTAGATTTCTTTACCATATATACGTATGTAGCTAAATAATCATTGTTTAAAGTTAATGCATTTGAAAATAGATATACTCGAAGGTAACTTAAAACATAAATACAGAAACTTTAAATATATTTTTTTATGTGTTAAAAAAAATTAGCATTATAGAACTGAGTAAACTTTTATCTATTACTTAGTCAAGTTGGTAAATTTAAAATTTACACATTCGATTAGAAGTTTGCATTTAGTATACTGATGGAGATGATGCATTTGTATTACGAACATTCAAGAAATTTCTATGTGAAACTACCTATGCGACAATTTTTTAAGCAATGTGAAGTAAAATTTAAAGTAAAAATGTCTCATCTTATAATCAGGTTTAAGATAGAAGAATTGCAATTTTTGAAGAGTTTTTTTAAAAATTCCAGATCGTAGATCACGTGATATAGGTTACCTAAATAGTGGTCACGTGACTAAAATGCAAAATGATTTTTTACGATATTTACAAGCCACAGTGGCTGGTGTCACATGATAGGTGAAAATAACCCGGGTGAAAATAGAATTACCCTAATAAAAATATTAACATGGCTGCCAAAAATTAAAAAAAATACTAATACAATATTATTTTCTTTAAAAAAAGTTTGCTTTGTAAAAATTTTACTATACATAGTATTTACGTTGAAACGGATTTGGAACTTCCTAGTTAGACTACGGTTAGGGTAAGGGTGTTCATATGATAAAATTAACTCCAAAATGCTGATTTTATACAAAAATTCCGAACCCGTATAATACGCATATCGATATGTATTATTATGATTCTTAGATTGGCAAAGTAAATAAATTATTAGCTAAATTCAAATATGTACTATATATAACTACAGTATTAATACGTAGTTACATTGCTTTATTATGTATAGCAAAAATAATTACAAATTTTGTTTATTGTACCAAATTTAAATCTTTATACAAAAGTTACTATATATACCATATGTTTATAATTTATAATATATAGCTTAAAAATGCTTCGTCATATAACAATGTTCTTTATTTTTTTGATATGGTTAAAATTCTAAAATTTTAGAATACCGATACATGTAAACCGTTATTCTGAATAACTTTTTGCAAGTTCATTTAATAGGTTTTTTTTATAGAAAACTAATTTTTTATGAATGTTAAAATTATTTATATATATAAAATACAATACGATTTTAAAATACAGGATTATTAGAAAAATGAAAATCACTAAACCAAAAATATTATACAATTAAATTAACATGTTGATTTTCTAACTAATCTTAGAAATTAATATGACACTAATTTGAATGGAGATCAACTAACATCTCTTGGATAATGAAACTTCCAAATTTGTGCATCAATAAGAAATGTGTAGTATTACCTATATCTAAGGTTAAAACATTCTGACAAAAATCAGAGGTCACATGAAAATATGAGAGTAAAACAGTAGTGATAGTGATAACGAAAAAAAATTTTCTCACCTACTAATATGAAATACTTGAGATAAAGTTGTCATAAATAAATACTAAGTCTAGAGGAGATTAAACAAAGAGGCTTTTACGCAAGTACAAAATTATTACAGTAATAGGCTAAAAAGTTTTTAGCCCGCATACCAACACAGCCACACAATTATCCAAAAGCAAAACCCGTTCCGTACACCGTGTGATCACGTAGACTGTGACGTTCCTACATACCTAAAGTATGATGGGATTATTTAAAAAACGCGTCGCGTACAATTAGTAAACGAGAAAAAAGATGAGTAAAATTAACAATTATGATAAAAAAATACATTACATGTAATAACAAGAATGCACTTAAACGCGCACAAAGTCTTCGTCCCGCACGATAATGCGAAATTTGATCTTTTTTAATTCTAAAGTGTCAATTCGTTTCTTTTTAATTTATACAAAAGAACTTTCCTAAATAAATACATATATATAGTACAAGACAAATGAACTTTCTTGATAAAATAGTAAAACTCCACAATTATTATTGTCACTAAGAATATTTAAAGATCAACTTTTTTTTTTTCTTTTTTTTTTTTTTTTTTTGAAAAAAACCACTGACTGTACTGTATAAACTAATTAAAGTACAAATAATAAAAAAACCTATTTAACCTAGTTTTTTTTGCTCTCCCCTCATAGTGGTATTATGACTGTTATACAAAAATAAAAATTCTCATGATAATTAATTAAACATAACTGATCTAATTTTCCCCACTAGAATAGTTGCTACTCACCAACCCCTCAGTATCATCATCCTGATCACCAATTCCTAATTTAATTTTATCTACAAATCCCATACTTTGTACTTTTTTACCCGAAGCACTACCACTCCTATTTAAATTTCTAGGAGTTATGCCACTATAGGATTCACTAGTGATATTGTTATTAGATGAATCAAATGTAGAACCGGTAGGAGAAAGATGGTGTCGAATGTAATCAATTGGGTGAAGAGGTGATGGAATCGGTGGTATGTTTATAACTCTTTCATCGGTATGTGGAGATCCTGGTGAAGAAGAAGAATTTTTCCGTGATGATATAGAAGGAATAGGGTTTTGTCCATGTGATGTTGTCTGTTGCTCCTCTACCGGAGATGGTAAAAATCGTACAAAGGAATTCCTTGCCAATGTTTCATGATGATGTATTGTAGAATCTTGTGGTTGATTACTAAATCGATTCGAATGAAATTCATCATCGGTTGGAGCAACAGAAGTAACATCTTGACGTTCAACTCGTTTAATATCTGAAAGGCTTGAAGATCTTTCAAGTATTGATGATAAACCTTCAGTCATGCTTGAACCATAATTTAAGCTTTGAGATCGTCTTTGCAAATTATTAGAACCAGAATGTGAATTCGAATTAATCGGGTAGGTACGTCCACTTGAATATCTACGAATACTTCCGAAACTAGCGCGAATATCCAAAGCACCAGGTTCATTTTCACCATTGTTTACAACAGTCGGAGGACTAGGACGGTCGGTAGACACCATCAACATAGATTGTCGACCATCCATGGAAGCACCTTTAGAAGTTTGAAGTAACACAATGCCAAGGCAAATTACCGAGAAGCCCAATACCACGGTTACAATGCTAATCGGAGGCGCGTTAAAACCGTGGGAAAGGATGGCAGAACTTACTATCGTTAAACCAGTGAAGAGTACATAGTACACAGGTGTTACCATCGCGGTATTGAACAAATTCAACGCTTTATTTAAGTAATTTATCTCGGTCAACAAAGTGACGACGACAAAAGCAGCAACAACGTAAAAGAACCAATTAGTCAATTGGTTATTATTTGGATCCATTATAGTTGTAACAATAGCTGTACCAAGACCTTGGGTGGTAACAACGGATAGAGAGCCGATCATAGAACAAACTCCTATGTAAACGAGCATATTTTTTGTGCCATATTTTGGAGCAACTCTCCATATTATGATTACTGTAAGAAATATACATGTAATAGCATATCCCAAAAAAACTGTATAAATATAAATATATATATATGTATTTAAATGTATTATTAAAAAGGCAAATTTCAAGATAAAATTTAGGACAATTGTTATTTAAATAACGCTTACGAGGATTAAAGAACTCATCCCTAAATTCATCGATACTATTTGCTACTTGTGTACTGGGGGCATGTATGACAATAATCGTGGCACCAAGAATACACAGAGCACAACCTATTTTTCCCTCATAATTTAACTTTTCGTTAAGGAATATAGAAGATAATACAGCACTGTCGAAAAATTATTTGATTTTATGTTAAATAAATTTTACAAGCATATGTATAACATATAAATGAAATAAATAAGTAATAATAATAATACCTTATGACTACACTTAAAGCGCCTAGAGGAGTAACGAGAATAGCTTGTGTAAACGCGTAGGCAACAAAGTTACATATTTCACCAATGATCACTAAATAAGAAAATTGATCAATAAATTGAACGCGAAAATTGATGAAAAAATATAAAATGAAAATGAAGTTACTTAATATCATTCCGACCCACCATAGTCCATTCGAAAGATAAGCATGTCCTTGACCAGCAATTGCTAATTAATGAATACGAAGAACACGAATTAAAATCAAATCGCTAACCATTTTTATATCAATTATGAGAAAGGGGGACACAAGAACGTACCACCCGCTTTTTGAGCTTCAAGAAGACCTTTTTTCTTAAATACAAAAGAAGTACCAATGAAAACACCTAAAATATTGATGAAAATGCTCCGTGAAAGGCCAATTAAAATTGAAACACGTTAAATCAATAAATTTTTTAACGTACCACTAGACAAAGCAAGAATTATACCGACAGTTTTAAACATAGGATTATCCGCCGTGTTGGTACTGGCTGAGGCAGCTCTTCCAACCAAATGTTCATTCATACTTTTTAGTCGTCAAAATTGGTATATTTTTTTTGGATGAAGGTAGGAAAAATATGGCTTTTATTTTATTAAATAAAAGCTTTTATTCCACTTTTATTAGTTACGAAATAGAGTGATTACACTTTAACGTGCCAGGTGAATCAGGAAGGTCGTGAGCAGTAAAGATTATTTCTCTGGTCTGTTTGTAATAAAACCGAGGAGAAACCTCTTATTAAAATGGCTTTGCGTAAAAAGAACAGAGAAAGAACAGAAAAAAAGAAAGGATTCAACTAGTCGCTCTGTATAATCATATATAGTCCAGCTACCAGAGCGTCTATTTAGGAAAAAAAGATGAAATGAAAAAAAAAGGTATGTATTACCTTTGAAAAAAAAGATGGGGAAATATATTCCAAAAACGCCCTTGAAGGGGGGGCACCAGAAAACGCAACTTGATAAAAGAGTGCAGAAGTACCCTGTAAGGAAAGATGAAACCGACTTAATACATATCGATATTAAACAAGGATCCGTTTGTGATATCACACAAAATTTTAAAGGTGCAGTTTGGAAATGATCGATAGTAGGAAATTTAAGTGTACAAGGTTTTTTTGTTACGAACACGCACACTCTTGCAAATAATACTTTGTCGAAAAACTATAGTATACAGTTATACAAGTTAATTAATAATAGATCAATAGATAATCACCTTTAAATGGCTGTCCGGCAACCAAATCTTTATTATGAGAGTACCCGTGACCGAAGCGAACCGTTCGCTTTAAACCGGAACAGCAAATTATAAGCAGAGGATCCCTATATAATAACGCGCGCACACGTTGTAAAAAGTGATCGAGTAAAAAGAAAAATTGGTTTCTTTTTATATTTTTTTTCAATCTTTCAATTAAAACAGGAGTTAATGTTTGAAATTAAAATGAAACGGTATAATATCGATATTGTGCTAAAGTTTTATGCATTATCAGTTTCACATTGTACATTTTTCAGTTTTTTCAGTCCGACCTCATAACTTAATATTGTTGGCATCTGCTTAATCAGGGGGCTAATCACAGTGAGCCTACTAATCATAGTAAACCCACTCATCCACGTTTACTTCAAATCAATACTAACGCTATAAATAGATACACGATTATAAAGTACGTTTTTTGAATTTCCGGGACTATTTCTTTATCTAGTATGTCGACAATTAAATTAAATGCAAAAAGATGTGATTTTCGATTTTTCAGTTTGTAATTCTAAAATGATATAAACAATGAAGTGTCGGCTTTGCTTTGCTTACGGACTGTAAGGAAAAGTCATTTCCCGAAAAATTCTACGAATGGCCTGTGTTATGTTGATCTAATCCAGTTCTCTATCACACTAAATAAATTTTAAATACTATCATTCTGGTTACTCCTAAATTATAACTATATGGATTTCAATTGGTTGGTTTTATTTGAAAAGATAAACAGATTATACTATATTTGTATATATTCTTGGTCAAAAAAAAAATACTGTTATGTCTTACGTTCAAGTACAGGTACTACATTAAATAAATGAATTATAAATAGTAATTTTTGTTGATCAATTTGATTTGCTAATACACAGTAGGTGCTTAACGTTATCGTTATTAAAATCTATTTTAAGTTAGAATAAATTAAGGTTATAAGATCATCTACACGTTATTGGTGAGTATAGAATACTGTTAGTCGCATGTTATATCGATATATAGTATATATAATAGAATTATCAAAAATGGGTTTCAACATTTTTTATCTGTAACATTTCTAAAAAATTTGATTTGCGATATTTAATGCTATTCAAATTAAATACGTTATAGTCACTTTCAATACAGTCACAACCTTGTTATAGTCACATTGTTTTTTATTTCTAGCTACGTATTATAAAACCAGTGTTGGGCTGGACCGGTCAATGATCAAGCTTGACCAGATCAATTTGACCAATTTGACCAGTCGGTCAAAGGGTATTTATATATATAATCAGTGTTGGGCGGACCAGACCAATTTGACCAGTCGGTCAAAGGGTATTTATATATATAATCAGTGTTGGGCGGACCAGACCAATTTGACCAATTTGATCAGCTGGTCAAAGGATTTGTATTGGTCAAATTGGTCAAATGGTATATTTAAATATAATTTATTATACGTATAATATTATAGACTTGACCAGTTTGACCATTTGACCAATTTGATTAGCAAATTTTTAATCGATCACTAATTTGTCCAACTTTGTATATAATATATATAATTTTTATATAGCAAAAATTATTTAATTTAATGATCAGATTCAATTTGATTAGATCAATTTGATTAGATCAGTTTGATTAAAGATTTTTTGATTATAGTTTAATAAATTTTTTAATAATTAATAATTTAATCAATTTTGTATAAAATATATAATTTTATTTATATAGTTACAATTTTTATTGTTATATATATATATATTTTTTTTTAACTTTTTTTTTATATTAAGATAAGTATATGCAATTCAGAATTTTATTGATAGTATGTTTTAATTAATAGCTGTTTGTATAACAATTACAAAAGCAATTATAAAATAAGTATACAATTAGTCACTTATACAATTTGAGTTATTGTCTAATTTAAGTAGTGTTACAGGGTTGTAGCTTTCTTGGTATAATACAACCAAGTAACAAGATTACCCAGTATAGTGATTAACTATTGCAAATATATATAGGATGAAGGTGTAGTAGTTTACTTTACTATACAGTAGCAGACAAATAGTTTAAGATAATAACAATATATAGATTAACTTTATTAAATAAATACACAATGACAACCTTGCTTATAGAAATTATCTTAAATGAGAAATATTATTTTTACAAGTTAGGAATAAAAGTAAAAAAGTCTAGATCAAAGTATAAAAACTTAAAATTGACAAGAAAAATAAAAAGGTGTCCTTTATACATCTTTTTACCTAACAGTGATAGTTAGAGATTCAAACAATATTACTTAATACTGTATTCAGAATAATAGAGGTTTAAACAACATTAAATATTATTGTACTTAGAACAATAAAGGTTTGAATAATATTAAATGATACTATGCTTAAAGTAGGAATTGTATAAAAGTAACTGAGAATATTGTTTATATTATTTGTTATTTATACTTGAAACACTTGAGGCTTGTGTTTAAATACCTGAATTCATACAAAGGTACTTAGAATTTGTGCAAATATACTTGGAGTTTGTATAAGAACACTTGAAGTTCATATTAAGAATACTTGGAATTCTTGTGTTATAACACTTAGTATAGTAATTTGATATTAGGATACATGAAACTTGTATAAAAGTACTTGGGGTTTGTAAGACAATAGTAACATTACAGATATTACTCAGTATCATATAGTTGTATTATATTTCTAATAGTCAATTAAGATTCTTTTATCTATTTACTATATAATATAACTATTGACTAATTAATAATAAATATAATATAATATATAAAATACAATAATAAATATATATATAACTACTAATACTACTATATAATATACTATACTAAAATTTATTTTGTAACAGTAGTTTGCTTAAAGGTTCTATACTAGTTATTATATCTAAAACCTACTAATAGATTTTCTATTTAAATATTTTAGTCTTATATTTTTTCTGCTTTATTAATAGCTTTAATAAACTGATAAAGATATATTATAGTTACTAAATCATATTTAATTTTATACTAAACCTACCAAAACTTTCTGTATCTTATATTTACAACTAATTCAATACTGCATTGGTCTAAACTAACATTTACAGTTAAGACTGATCATTAAATTACTGTATTTTTATAAAGTTCACTCAAATTTTAATATTTATCTTTTTAATATTTTTCTTATTATCTTTTACTAATTACTACTTAGAAGTAACAAGACTCTTTCAACTACTAATCTAAATAGCCTAGCATAATATACTTATGTATTTTATTTTTTAGTAATTTTAGTAGCTGGTTGATTATATATTTCTTTATATATCTTATTATTTAGCTTATCTGTTTGTTTTTTTGAAGATTTTTATAAGTTTAATAACATTGTCAAAAGTTTATATTATCTTTTTATTTAGAATTTCTAAATAGGTTTTTAATTTTTTAATTTTTTAGTTTTTTATGCTCAATAGTCTTATTATAAGTTTGTATTAAAGTTTTATATAATATCAATGTTTTTTTTTTTTGTTTTTTTTTATTTTTTATTAAGGTAACCTCTTTGGTCTTTTGACTTTTATTAATTACTTATCAGTATTGTGGTTCAATGAACTACTACAAAAGAGTGTACAATTGGCTACACATGTAACTTTTCTATATTACCTATTTAAGAAGTCCACCTGAAAGTTCTCTACCAATTGCCGTATCTAATACCTTTGCTTGGATGTTTCACTTTAAACCCTCTGAACCTGTAATCTGTGTTAACATTACTGGTCATCTCAGATGTACCAGATCATCATTCTCAACCTTAGGACTAATTTATCTTCAAGGTAAACTCCCTAGAGCCTTCTGTACTTATTTTTAAAACTGACCTAGGTATCGCTATGGCAGAACTAACATTTGCAGTCAGGACTAATTATTAAACTGTTATGCCCTTGTAAAGTTCACTTAGATCCCAATATCTACTTTACAGTATAACTCTAATACTTTAGTATACTCCTGCCTTTTGTCTAGCCTTTTTATCAAACTCCATATCCAGATAGCCTGTATAGGACTATGACCAGTTCATTAGTATATCAAGTTGGCCTAATATCCTTTTTCTTCAGTTCATTCTGGTGGCCTGGTTGATGGTACCTCTGAGCCTCCCAACCTAGAGGTTCTTGCCATCTGACTACTACGACCAGGTACTATGACCTTGGTATCTGTTTCCTTAGACTAGTCTTTACAGTAAGGCTATCGAAGATTTAGCTATCTCTTTACTCAGGTCTTCTCAAATGGACTTCTTGTTATCTAATTTCAATAGATTTATACAGCCACAAGGACTTATCTAGTGTTTGCACTGCCTAATTCGTCAGT